CACGCTTCCAAGCACACCAGGCAGTGTGTCTAGCTGGCCGCCACGCTGCCATTGCTGGCCGCCGCGCTGCCATTGCTGTGGCGCGCTGCCATTGCTGTGCCGCGCTGCCATTGCTGTGCCGCGCTGCCATTGCTGTGCCGCGCTGCCATTGCTGTGCCGCGCTGCCTCCAAGATCACGTTCCCTTCCCTCCCAACTCCTCTCATCGCCTACATACTGTTCCCGTCCCCAACAGTCACCACCTCTTCCCTCACACACACTACCACTTCCACCACTACCTCTTCCACCACTACCTCTTCCACCACTACCAGTGGACGCCACACTGTGACTCTTCAGGTGCCTCAAAGGATATCACCTCGCCCCTTCCGTTCCCCCCCTCCCTCGTGCCTTGCACGCTACCACTGCCAGGTGGTGCGTCTCGCAGTGGACGCCACGCTGCGGGCAGCGGCACCGCTGCAGCGGGTGCGGCGAGAGAGGGCGGCGAGGACGGGCGGCAGGGAGCGGCGCATCTATGTGGACAAGAGCGACCTGCGGCGGAAACTGCTGGCGCGGCGAGCGTCGTCTCTGGTGGGCGCAGGGAAGGCTGCATGCGCGCATGGGTGGGGTGTGGGGGTGTGGCGCGCGCGTGTGGGGTGCAGGAGAGGCGTCATGCACCGTCGTGCCGGGCATGGCAGTCATGCAACCACGCCCACACAATCCACCGCATGCTGCCCCAGTCATGGGCTCAGGTGGTTGGGCCAAAGCTCGTTTCACCGCGTGGCGCTGCTGAGCGTTGGGTTGTCATTCACCAGTGCTCACCACCATGAACCATCGTTTCTCTTCACTGCCTTGTCCATTCATTCCTGTGGCAACTGTACCATTCTACCAATGCTTCCGCTTTTCCTCCTTCACACCGCATGGCACCTGCACCACATGGCACCTGCACCACATGGCACCTGCACCGCATGGCACCTGCACCACATGCCAACACAATCAATCCCCCCACGCCCTCCCCCCCTCCCCCCCTCCCCTCCCAGGTGGTGTTCATAGTGGTTGGGAGTGGCAGAAAGGCGCTGAACTGCATACCACCTGCACCATATGGCACCTACCCCCTCCCCCCCCGGGTGGTGTTCATAGTGGTTGGGAGTGGCAGAAAGGCGCTGCTGAACCACACTCGACCAAGAACCCCCCCACACACATGCTCACCTCCCACATCCCTACCCGCCCCACCCGTCCAGGTGGTGTTCATAGTGGACGCAAGTGGCAGCATGGCTGAACCGCATGGGGGCGGCCAAGAAAACCCCCCCACACACACACACTCACCTCCCAAACCTTCCCTTCTCCCCTCTCCCCGTCTCCCCCCTTCTCCCCACCTCCCCTCCCCCAGGTGGTGTTCATAGTGGATGCGAGTGGCAGCATGGCGTTGAACCGCATGGGGGCGGCCAAGGGAGCAGCGCTGCAGCTGCTGGCGGAGAGCTACAGCAAGCGGGACAGCATCGCCGTCGTGCCCTTTCATGACCAGCATGCCGACCTGCTCGTCCCGCCCTCCCGCGCCGTCGCCCTCGCTCACAAGCGGTGAGTGCCATGTGGGGTTGAACCCCAGCGAGCCTGCAGGGAGAGATGCAGTGCAGTGCACCCTTGCTGCTACCTGCGTTCGCCCACTTTCCACCCCCTCTGCAGCACCTCCCATGCAGGAACTCAGCCAATCAACCCTTTGCATTGACTCTCGTGCTCTCCCTTGTTTGCAGCCTGGAGAGTTTACCGTGCGGCGGGGGCTCGCCGCTGGCGCATGCGATGGTTGTGGCGGTGCGGGCGGCGGAGGTGGCGAGGAGGCGCGGCGACGTGGGGCAGGTGGTGGCGGTGCTCATCACCGACGGCCGCGCCAACGTGCCGCTCTCAACGTCGCTCGAGGCCCTGGAGGGGAGTGGTGGTGGCGGAGAGGGTGCGACGGGCGCAGGCGGGGAGGAGAAGCTTCCTCCTCGCCTGGAAGATATTAAGGTGTGCCCTTGCTTGCCCTTCTCTTTTCTTCTGTCTCCTATGCCTCTCCTGCCCTGCCCCTCTACTCTACTCTCCTCTACCTTCCTCTCCTCTCCTCTCTTCTCCTCCTCTCTTCCTCTCCTCTCCTCTCCTCTCCTCTCCTCTCCTCTCCTTATCCAAAAGGTGAATGCAAGGAATACTCACAACTTGCCAACCCAGCTCTTATTCCTTACACCTTTCCCCCCACCTTCTCCCTTTTTTCCATGGGAACCCCTTTCCTGGTCTGCTGCTTCCCGTTCTCTGCTCATCCCCTGGCGGCTGGCAGGAGGAGGTGCTGAGCATAGCGGCCAAGATGGGGGCGGCGGGCATACAGCTGCTGGTGATCGACACCGAGAACAAGTTCGTTTCTTCTGGCTTTGCCAAGGAGATCGCCAAACACTCGCAAGGTGAGCTTTCCTACAGCTAGGGTAAGCATTCAACTAGCCCATTTATGTTGGACAAATCGCGATAACTCTTACTGTACTTGCGCGCACGGGTTTCATTTATATACCGAACCCGTTTGGCAAGTGATAATCATCTGCCTGGCCGAGAAAAGAGTGCACCTCATTTCAAGCTAAGCCCCCTAAATGTGAGCGTCTTTGCCTCCTCCTAATGAGATGCCTTAAAGGTGATTTGAAGGTGTCGCATACCTCTGCTGATTCTTGCTTGACCCCTTTCTCCTGCCAAACAGGAAAATATTTCTATCTACCGCATGCAACTGTCGCTGCTGTAGCTGCCACAGCTCGTGCAGCTATGCAAGACTTCAGAAAGCCCTAGGGCCTTGAATTCATACTCTACATTGTACATATTGTAGTTCATGCAGACCCTCGAAATTCTTGAGCTATGCTTGTACATATGGTTTGGTAATGTTTGGTGTGTTCTAAGATGGTGTTTCTTCTGAACAACTTAAAGCAGTTTATGAATATGATCCTATAGTGTAAAGGGAAATCGAAACTGTAAATAGACAGTATATATCCATGACCATATATTGTTTATTATCATATCCATATGTATAAATACTTGTTCCAATTAGAAGAGGATACACTCTACATACACAATTCTAGCGTTGTTCTGTACATCCATCTCATAGGGCCCACCCCAAGCAAACCCAAGGTTGCATCACCACTTCGTCGCAGCGCGGCAGAAAGGTGCTCGGCTGGGGCGAGCGAAGCTGGTCGAGCTCACATAAAAAGGAGATTACCCAGTACCCAGTCCTCATTCACTATCTCGTCCCGTCTCGTCAACTTGTTCCAGACAATTTCTCAGCAACAAGGAAATCCGCGTCAAATATGGCCTCAGGTTGCATTCAGCTCTTTACATGCACGCATTGTTTGCTTCCGCTTTCTTAACTCATGCTTGGTACAGATATGCGCGTGGAGCCCAAGGCTTTGATACTTGTCGGAGGCTATGGCACACGCCTGCGACCCCTGACGCTGAGGTAGAGTTTCATTATGTCTTATCAATTCTCGACGCAAATGCAGGATGCTCGATAAATAAAATCCTGAAATCTCGAAATCCGTGCAGCAAGCCTAAGCCACTCGTTGAATTCGCGGGAAAACCAATTCTTCTTCACCAGGTATTTGTCCTGATGTTTCCAAGGCGCTGATTCATCGTGGTAATATATGTTTTAACATTCTTCACAGCTCGAGGCTTTGCGGGAGTGCAACGTCAAAGAAGTAGTCCTCGCGTTGAGCTACATGCCGCATGGATTTAAGCAGTTTCTTGAGACATACGAAAAAGAGTTAGGCATGACCATTACGTGCTCTCGGGAAGAGGAGCCGCTAGGGACGGCTGGGCCTCTGGCTTTAGCCACGAGTATTCTGCTAAAGTCTACTGCGTCTTCTCCACCTCAACCATTCTTCATGCTCAACAGCGACGTGATCTGCGACTATCCATTCAAAGGTGGCATCCATGCTGGTCTCTTTCCATAAAACTCTGCAATCTTGACAGTAGTCTTACGGGTCCTCATCTTACGATGCAGGATTGCTTGACCTTCATATCAGCCGTGGTGCTGAAGCTACGCTTATGGTGACTCGCGTTGAGGACCCCAGCAAATATGGTGTCGTGATAATGGACGATGCAGGTGCCGTCAGCCGTTTTGTGGAAAAGCCAAAGACATTCGTTGGTGATACCATCAACGGAGGCATCTACATTCTAAGCCCGTCCGTCCTTGAGAGGGTTGAGCTGCGTCCTATGTCAATCGAAAAGGTGCTTATCATCTTACGCATGTGTCCTCGTGTAACGATTTTGAGGCTGACTTTCATTGACTTGTGCAGGACATTTTCCCAAGAATTGCCATGGATAAGAAGTTGTATGCCATGGTTCATACGGGCTACTGGATGGATGTAGGGCAGCCCAAAGACTACCTGGAAGGGATCAAGACGTATTTGCATCACAAGAGAAGTTCGCATCCAGAGATGCTGGCCATTGGAAGCAACATTGTTGGGAATGTGATCGTGGATCCCACTGCTACCATCTCTAAGAGTGCTTCTGTTGGTGAGTAAACCGCCATTCTAAGATGATTCAAAGCCACGTGGCAGGAAACTTCGTATCTGATCCTGCGCTTGTGACAGGCCCTGATGTTGTCATTGGACCCAATTGCATTATCCACGATGGTGTGAGGATCCATGGAAGTGTTCTCCTGGGAGGTTCAAGAATTGGCTCGGGTAGCCTGATTCTGAACAGCATTATCGGCTGGAACTCAACAGTTGGGAAGTGGACACGCATTCAAAAGAACTCCGTCCTGGGAGAGGATGTCACTGTGAACGATGAGGTGCTGATTAATGGCGCAAAGGTCTTGCCTCACAAGGAGGTCAAGGCAGATGTTGATACTCCACAGATCATCATGTAGGCAGGCTATGGCTGTGAAAAGGGTGGAAAGAGGGCGAGGTACTCTGTAATATGTACGATATACTAATATATGTAACATTATGAGCTGTTGAACTAGCAACGTAAGCACCAAACCAAGAATCTCCAATTTTGTATGATTACCAACTCTGAGCAGAGCTCACTGCTGCTTTTGCTCTGCAACAACGCAAAGGGCTTCAAGTCCAGGCACTTCCATTATCATTGGGAGCTCTGGTCGCCAAGGCAGCTCATCCTTTTCCCAGATCGACCAATGGCTCTGCTTCATGGTCGGTGTCGGCCTTGGGCTTGCATGAAACAGCCGCAACTGGCGGAACAAGAAAGCCATTTCCAGCTCGTCCTCCTCCACCTCATCTGCAGTGCTTTCAGTGTCAGCCTGCTCTCCAGAGAGATCTGAAACCTCTGAAGTGTGTCCCTCACTCTGATCAGATGAGGAACCCGAGCTCGTATTTTTGCCCGACTCTGAATCCGACAGTTCCTGACGACCTCCCCTTCCTGGCTCAACCCCCTTTCCAGTGCCAGACTCCTCTTCCCCCTCACCTTCTTCATCACAGCACCCTTTCACCAGCACGCCTGCTGATCTTGCACTAGCTGGCGCGAATGAGGTGAATTTGCAATCACTGGCATCATGCTGTGCCTGCTGCACCTTGAGCCTAAAGGTTGCCTCATAAGCTGCACACCTGGCTGCTACCTCGAGTGCTTGCAGGCTCTCATCGTCCTCACTCTCATCCCACTCACTCCTTAAAGACGGCTCCAGGACCAAGGACATGCCGTTGGCAGTTTCAAGCTTTGTACTCTGGTCGTCACCTGCTCCCTTGTCATCCTCCCCTTCCTCATCCTCCTCTTCTCCCTCCTCGTCCTCCTCCTCATCTTCTTCCTCATCTGCTTCGTCTTCTCCCTCCTCGTCATTCTCCTCCTCTTCCTCTTCTTCCTCTTCTTCTTCCCCCTCCTCTTCCTCTTCCCCCTCCTCTTCCTCTTCCCCCTCCTCTTCCTCTTCCCCCTCCTCTTCCTCCTCCTCCTCTTCCTCTTCCTCCTCCTCTTCTTCCTCCTCTTCTCCCTCCTCTTCCTCTTCCACTTGGTCCTCCTCTTCTTCTTCCACTTGTTCCTCCTCCTCTTCCTCCTCCTCCTCCTCCTCCTCCTCCTCCTCCTCCTCCTCCTCCTCCTCCTCCTCCTCCTCCTCCTCCTCCTCCTCCCCGTTTTTGCCCTCCCCCGTCTCCCCTGGTTCCTCATGATTAAAATTCTCCTCTTCATCATCTCTCCCCTCTTCCTCTCCATCCACCGCTTCCAATTGCTGCTCACCACTCACCGTTCCCATTCGTTGCCCACTCCTTGCAGTCCTCTCTTCCTCTTCTCTCACATCTCCTCCGTCCTCAACGCCAATGCTCTCCGCGCCCCACTCTCGGGCCTCCATGTGCTGATCCTCACTGCCAGCCTGCAGCAGCGTCAGGAACATGTTGTTTGGAGCCTCCTCAACAGCCGGCTCCTCCTTCCCATCGCACTGTCCCATGGCCACTGTCGCATCCAAAATCTCCTCCCACGTTTGCTTCTCCGTCTTCCCCTCACACCTCCCCACCCTCTCCTCGTCGCCTCCGATTGCATTTCCCTGATCATCGCTGTTCTCCCTCAAGCCCTCTCCCAACACTCTCCCAACTCCTAGCCCTTGTGAGCTTGCATGACACGGCTGAGGACGAGCATTCAACCCATCACCTTCCCAGCTGCACACCTCCTGCTCCTCCAATCCATCCACTGCTGCCCCCGCCTGCTGCATCATCCCCCTTTCCCCCCAGCGCTCTTCGCCCTCCTCGATTCCTGCCATCCCGTCAACCGCTTCCATCCATTCAATCCCTTCGCTCCCCCAGGACATCCGCCTCGCCTGTGCATCAAAGAACTCCTCATCTTCGCTAGTAGCAGACTCAAACATCTCTGAACTGTTCTCCCCATGTGCGCTTGACGCTGCAGTTCCCCCCTCCCCGAAAGATGCCCTTCCTGTCACACTTGACCCAGCGCCCATTGCCATCCCAGCAATACAACTCCCAGGAGACAAGCTCTTCTGTGAGTCTCCCACAACAATCGATGGGTGCTGCTGCTGCTGCTGATTGCTCTCATCCCTTGAACCCACCGCACAATTCACTTCAACCAGCGGCTGCCTCCAGCCCATCGCCCTCCGCTCGCCCACCAGCCCCCCAAACACGTCCTCCATCCAGCCGCCACTCGCATCGCCTCGTCTAAGCCCACCCCATGCGCCATTGAAAGCGCCAAGCACACCAGCCTCGCTCCCGCCTCCTGCCAGAGGGCTCAAGAAGTCCAAGGGGTCTAGAGGCCTCTCTTCCCACTGCGCTGCCAGGCGGAACGCCTCGTGGGACGGCTGGCTCAGACTGCCACTGAACAGCTCCCCCAGAGGCCCACTGCCCGCCCCGCTGTAGCACCCGCTGCTCTGACTCAATGGCCCACTGCTCTGGTGGCTCAAAGGCCCACTGCCCATACCGCTGCCTGTATGGTTGTAGCACCCGCTGCTCTGGCTCAAAGGGCCGCTGCCCTGGTGGCTCAGAGGCCCGCTGCCTGGCCGGTTGTAGCGCCAGTTGCCTTGGCGGGTCAAGGGCCCGCTGCCCCAGTGCCGCAGCAGCACGCTGCGCAGCCTGCCTGAGGGGCTCCTGAGCCGAGCTCCCAGTGGCCCGCTGCCCGCCTGCACCAGAGGTCCGCTCAGGCTGCGAGGGCCATTGCAAGGGCCAATGAGACGGCCGCTGACACTGTGAGGGCCACTTCGAGGGCCATTGCAAGCGTCACTGAGAGGGCCACTGAGGGGGCCGCTGTAAACGCCACCAATACCGCCAATGATCCTCGTGTTGGGTTGAGTGTGAGGGGCACGCCTGCACCTGCAGGTGCTGGGACTGCTGCTGCTGGAACCGCCTGCTGCACTGCTGTCCCCGCCACTGCTGTGCCGCCCACAGCACCCATTGCTCGCCATGCTGCTGCTGCTCATGCCACAGCTGCTGCCGCTGATGCTGCTGCCATGACTGTGGCTGCTGTGGCTGCCCCACTGGCGCTGCCTCGGGAGCTCTGAGGAACTCCCCCGCCCCGCCTCCTCCTCCTGCTGCTGCAACCCCTCTTTCCCCTGCGTCTCCTTCTCCTTTTGCTGCCACGTCTGCTGCTTCTCAGCGCCCTGCTTAGACAGGCCTGTGGGCCCACACAGGGAGCGGCGAGTGGTTTCCTCGATCCACTGCATGCCGCTCTGCAGGGCAGCACTCGTGGACTCCAAACTGACGTCCATGCGCGCCACCCTCGCCACATCCCTCCCTGCATCTCCACTCCCCATCTGCACCATCGTCTCCTTCTCCTCCTCGCCGCGCCCACCACCCCACCCCAGGGCCGCAAAGGCCAGGGACATTCGACCCGCATTTGCTTCCGTGCCTCCGTCACTGCCCGCCACCCCACTGCCGCCCACAGCAGCACCACCTTGACCCTCCTGCGCCTGCTGCTCGCCTCCCTGCCCTCCCGTGGCCGCTGCCTGCTCTCCCGGCATCTCTCCCAGCATCTCACCACCCCGCGTCACCTCCAACGCCGCTCGCACTGCCACCTCCCCACCCGCCTCCCCGCCCGCCTCTCTGCCCAGCGCGCGCCACCGCTTGCTCCACCGCACTCCCCGCAGCCGCCACGTCCCCGCTGCTGCATCCCCCGCTGCTGCACTCCCCACTGCATCTCCCGCTGCTGCATCCCCCGCTGCCCCCGCTGCTGCGCCCCCCGTTGCTGCGCCCCCAATTGCTGCACCCCCCCATGCTGCGACCCCCGCTGCTGCGCCCTCCCCTGCTGCGCCCTCCCCTGCTGCGCCCTCCCACGACTCTGCTGCTGCCGTGCCAACAGCGCCACTTCCCTCCAGCCCTCGCTGTAACTCCTCCGTTCTGCCCTCTCCCCGTCCGCTCGTCCCCTCCGCCCTCTCCCCCTCCTCCACCGCCCTGGCCTCCCCCCATGCCGCCACTCGCACCTCTGCCCCCGCGGCGTGCTGCTGCGTGCTCGCGCTGTTGATCCCCGCCTCACCCTCACTTGCACGCCACGAGTCAACTGCTCCCCCGCCTGCCACCCGCCCCCCCTCATCCGCCTCGCGCTCCTCCGCTTCTACGCCGCACGCTCGCTCTTCATCCCCATCCCCGTCTTCTTCTTCTCCCTCCCACGCCTCCTCATCCTCCTCCTCCCTTTCCTCCTCATCTTCCTCCCTTTCCTCCTCCTCTTCCTCCTCCTCTTCCTCCCATTCTTTCTCCTTCCGCTCCTTCGACCCTTTCTCATCACCTTCCTCTAACCCCTCTTCAACCCTCCTGTCCACGTCATCCCCTTCCATCTCCCCTTCCGCCCAATTCTCCTCCTCTTCCCATCTCCCATCCTCATCCTCCTTCTCATCCCCCCACGCCTCCTCCTCTTCCTCATATTCTTTCATATCCTCTTCTGCGTCACATTCCTCCTCTCCCTGCTCGTCCCCGCCCTCCCCACCCACCTCCTCCCATTCCTCGTCTCTCTCACTCACCTCCTCCTCTGTCGCGTGTGCCTCTTCGTCCGCTTCCTCTCTCTTTCTCCTCCTTGTCACCTCATTCGCCCATCGGCATTCCCCTTGTTCGCCACTTTCGTCACTTTCGCGGTTTTCGCTACTTTCGCTCTCACCCATCCTCCTGCGGCTCTCCGATCCCCTCTCGACTCGACCAGATCCGTCGCTCGAATCTCGCGACTCTTGCTGCGACTCTTTTGACTCGCCCAGAGCGTAGCCCTTCGCATCCCCGTTAACAGATGCCTCGGTTGAGTATCCTGGTGACTCCAGCTGAAAGTGCGAGCGAAGCCTCATCGTACGGCTGTGATCGCTCCGTCGGTCGGGGCTATCGGGCCAGAGAATGCCTGGATCGGAAGATGCGGGTACCTGGTGGGAAGAGGCAGGGCATGTGTGATGTGGTGAGTCGCGCGTCGACTCGGCGTGTGGATCGAGCAGGACTGTGCGTCACTGCGCTAGCTGGCAGCGACTGGCGTGCGGGATGGGGGAAAAGGCAGGTGATACCGCGTGAAGCAGTAGCAGCTAGCATCATCAGCTCTCTTCCCTGCGCCATTGCTTTCCACGCGTCATCTCGCGCTCCCGATCACCGTGCCACACTTTCTAATCTTCTGCTCCCCACCCTCCTCTCTTCCATACTACCCACGCCCTTCCCGTTCCCTGCATCCCGCTCACCTGTCGCCGCCTCGCGCCACCGCGTGCCACGGCCATGGCGGCTTCGCGCTCCTTCACCGCCGCCAGCACCTCCCAGTACGCGCGCCGGTCGAATCGAATCATTCGCTCCTTATCGATTTCATCCTCGCTAAGAGCGCTCTCCGCGGTGACTACGTACGTCCATCCCTTACACAACCGCTTCGACAAGCGAAGGCTCTTCTTCGCGGGGCCGTGAAACAAGCCGGGAGTTGCGGTGCGTAGCGAGAGGGCGACCTCGAGAGGCTCGGACGCTGCAGAGCAAGACAGCGCGGACCTAGATAATGTTGACGTGGACACGGGAGCCGCTGACGTTGATGGGAAGGCTAGTGACGTGGTCGCTGCGCGGAGGCAGTAAGGCAGCACGCGCCTGAGGGCCTGCTCTACGGTGAGGCGGGCGGCGAGGGAGAGATGAAAGCCGTCGGGCAGAATAACTATCGCTCCAGCTGCCCGGCTATCAGACGCTGTGCGCCAAGGCCACATCGCGGCGAGATAATTGCAGTCGGTCGCAGAGGCTTGGCTGGTCCCTTGGACTGGGTGACGTAACACAATCAAATGCGACAATTGTAAAATTTACGAGGTCTGGAGAGTACTAATCTGGTTCGTATTGTGTTAGCTCTCGTGATGACCTGAGAAGCGCTAGAATGTAACTTATGAAATCCGCTGGCCGCGCAAATGTGGAGTTGACCTTCTAGCGACTCGCTACAAGAGTAAAAATGCTTTTCCTTCGCAACTATCGAGTATCGAGCCTCAAGAGTCTCGACGCCACCTCCAGTCACTCAATGCTGCACTCATTGCTCTGTTTTGGCTGAGGGGGACCTGCATTAGTGAAGGTGCTGCAAGGTTTCTGGCACAGATGTGGGAGGGAGGTGACGGGAAGGCTGGAAACCCAAGGTGAATGGTTTCTTTTGCAAGATGCTCCGGTACAATAGGGGCGCCCCGGCGTAAGACAGAACATATGAAAATCTGGGCGTTCCTTCACGTACCCATTTAGAACGCAAAAGCTTGGTGAGCTGAGCACTCTTTTTACTGAGTGCGGTTGTTGGATATAGAAAAACGTGGATCCGTGCTCTAGAAGAAGTGGAAAACGGGTGTTCATCCAGTCACAACCGAACATTTCGCAGTAAATATGCTCATATACACGTAGTTACCCTAGAGAAACCAAGCCTCCTAGTTTTCCTGCGTTTGTGGAACGCAATGCCAAGTCAGGAGAGCGACGCCGAGCCGGCCCGAGTTTGGATGACAGCGCAGCGCGAATCTGACGAAACGCGAAAAAAACGGCTATTACAAAACTGGCGGGCCGTAAGCTTAGCTACACTGAGATTGACCAAATATAGGTGAAAGTTATCTACAATGACAAGAAATAACAAGAGAGAACAAACTCTAAACAAGGATCAATGCTCCAACTCCAACTCCAACTCTTGATCTATACTCTCTGTCAAACTGTTATAGTGCTTACATTGTGTAGGCTGTAGTGGGGTAGCACATAAGGGGTACAACCCAATTAGGGTTAGCACTTGTACCCAACTTTCTGTTCAATCCAATCATTCTCGTTCAGTATTCTGACATGGTTTCATAGCAGGTCCTGTTATAGGACCGATTTTTTTAAGGCCCACCACAGAGCGCTACCCCACTAGCTGCCCTACCGCCCTGCCCTAACTGTCGCGCCGCCCTGCTGGCCGCTGTGCCGCCTTTAACAGCCCGCGCGCCGCCCTTTGCAGCCCGTCGCACCACCATTTGCAGCCCGTGCACCGACTTTAGCAGCCTGCGCGCCGCCCGTTTGCGGCCCGTTCGCCGCCCCTTGCAGCCCGTGCGCCGCCCTCTGGCAGCCCGCTCGCCGCCCCTTGCAGCCTGCGTGCCGCCCTCTGGCAGCCCGCTCGCCACCCGTTTGCGGCCCGCTCGCCGCCCCTTGCGGTCCTCGCACCGCCCTCTGGCAGCCCGCTCGCCGCCCCTTGCAGCCCGCGCGCCGCCCTCTGGCAGCCCGCTCGCCGCCCCTTGCAGCCCGCACGCCGCCCCTTGCCCTCGCGCGCCGCCCTTTGCACCCATGCGCCGCCCTGCTGCTGCCCGCCCTACTGCGCGCAGCTCTGCTGGCCGGCGCACTGCTGCTTGCGCCGCCCGGCTGCTGCCCGCCTTGCTGCGCGCAGCCCTACTGGCCGGCGCCCTCCTGCCCGAGCCGCCATGCTGCCGCCCGCCCTGCTGTGCACCGCACTGCTGGCCGCCGCACCGCCCTGCCCTAGCCGTGCGCCGCCCTGCCATGCCCTGTACACTTCCCTAGTGCTCGCGCACCGCCCTGCCTGCGTGCTGCCCTGCTGGTCGCGCGCCACCCTGCTCTGCCCGCTATGGCTTCTCTTAGTGTACTCACCTTCGATCATGAGGGCCGTCTGATCCAGTTCGATAAGTGGCTCGACGACTTACAGCTGTACCTACTGAGCAATTCTAGAGACAACGTTTCGTTGTTTGACCACACGTTTGGAGCCTCTCACGCCCCTCCCGCCACAGCTGACAGTGCGACTCGCTCACAGTGGCTTACCCATGACGCTGCTGCTCACTTAGCCGTTCGCAACCACCTACCGTTAGCCGAATGCGCTCACTTTGGCCAGCACAAGACTGCTAAAGCCCTGTACAACGCTGTAGTCGCTCGTTACTCCTCCCCTGCCATTGCTGCTCTAGGCCGCCTTATACTGACCTACCTGTTTCCCGAGCTGTCCGCCTTTGCCACTGTCGAGGACCTCGTTACCCACCTCCGCACACGCGACGCTCGCTACCGCGCTGCCCTCCCAGCCGAGTTCCTTGACAGGATGCCGCCCCCGATGTACATCACTCTCTACTTCATAGTCACCCGCCTCCCTGACTCTCTTCGCCCTGTCAGGGACCACTTTCTCGCACTTGACCCCACAGACCTCACTGTCGACCTGCTCGAGCAGCACCTCCTTGCAGCTGAGACTAGCGTAGTCGCTGTAGGTGCTGCTCGTGGCACTCCTCGCACACCCTTCTTTGAGGGGTGCTCCCCCTCCCCCCTTGCCCCCTCCTACGCTTCTGCTGCTGCTGCCTCGCCTTGGTCACCCATCCCTGCCACACCTGCGTGGCATGCTCTCCTGCGTCCTTGTCTCTGGTCTGCCCAGGTCTCTGCGTCCCCTCCCGCCCTCGCCTGCCCCGCCCTGCCTTCCTTGCGTCGAGGGGCGGCAGCGCGCCGCTCCTCACTCCTCCTCCTTTCCCCCGACGACTGCTCCCTTGCAGACTCTCTACATGAACGTGTGGGGCCCAGCCCGCGTCAGTGGACAGGACCGCGAGCGCTACTTCTTGCTGGTTGTTGACAACTACACGTGTTACACCATGGTCTTCCCCTTGTGTAGCAAGGGTGAGGTGCCTGATGTCTTGATCCCTTGGATCCGTGCAGTCTGTCTCCAGCTCCGCGAGCGGTTCTGTGAGGATCTTCCTGCCTGCGTCTGCACTCTGACAGAGGTGGTGAGTTCTCCTCCGACCTCTTGCGGGACTTTTGTCGTGGGGAGGGCATCCTCTAGTCGTTCACGCTTCTGGCCTCCCCTCAGCAAAATGGGATTGCTGAGTGCCGCATTGGCTTAGTCATGGAGGCGGCTCGTACCTCCATGATCCATGCGGCTGCTTCCCATTTTTTGTGGCCGTTTGCGGTCCGGTACGCTGCGCATCAGCTCAACCTCTGGCCTCGTGTCTCCTTGCCGGAGACCTCACCTACACTGCATTGGACGGGGAAGGTTGGCGATGCGTCGGTGTTCCGGGTCTGGGGCTCTCGTGCCTTTGTTCGCGATACTTCCGAAGACAAGCTCTCCTCCCACGCTATTCCCTGCGTCTTCCTTGGCTTTCCCCCTGACGCGCCTGGCTGGCAGTTTTACCACCCCACCTCGCACCGTGTCCTTCCCTCTCAGGACGTCACGTTTGACGAGTCGGTTCCCTTTTACCGTTTCTTCCCCTACCGCACTGCCCCTCTCCCCCCCCCCCCGCCGCTCTTCCTTGCTCCAGGTCCCCCTCCGGTAGACCTCCTCCCCCCTCAGGGTCCTTCTCCCTCAGGCGTGTCTTAAGTAGACCCACTCCCCGGAACTGTACCTGTCGAGGTTGCTGTAGACTCAGGTGCTGCTAGAGGTGTTGCGTCTTGGGGTGCTGCGTCTGGGGGTGCTGAGCCTGCGAGTGTGGAGCTTGGGGGTGCTGATCCTGAGGGTGCGGAGCGTGGGGGAGCTGAGTCTGAGGGTGCAGCGTCTGGGGGTGCTGAGCTTGGGGGTGTAGAGCCTGTGGGTACTGGAGCTGCTGGTCCTGGAGGTGCTCGTACTAGAGGTACTGGAGCTGCTGGGGCTGGTGGTGTTGGAGGCGCTGGAACTGGACACCCTGGAGCTGGAGACCATGGAGCTGGAGGCACTGGCGCTGGAGCTAGAGGAGTTGGAGCTGGAGACCCTGGTGCTGGAGGCGCTGGGGCTGGAGGCGCTAGAGCTGTCGACCCTGGAGCTGGAGGCGCTGGAGCTGGAGACCCTGGAGCTGGAGGTGCTGGCGCTGGGAGTGCTGGAGCTGGCGGTACTGGTGTTGGAGGCACCGTGCAGCGGTGACCGTTTTTCGTTCTGCCGCCACCTGACTTGGTCCTTCACCAGGTTCTTAGTCTCCCGTCTTCTACTGGCCTTCCTCCTCGCTTACTGAGTCCACCACCTCACCAGTCGCAGCCACAATTACAGCCAGATTACCCATTGCCTTCTCCTTCTCCTTACGTTGAGCAGACATACTCTTTTACAGAGCGTCGTGAGCCTGAGTCTCGTCCTGCATCGCCTGTTTGCAGAGTTCGCACTGGTCGTTGTGTTCCTCGTCCGCGTCCTCCTCCTGTCCCCGGCACTCACATTATGGAAATTCGTCCTTCCTCTGTTCCATTGCGAGTTCCCCTGCCGCCTCCTCCTGATTCCTCTCTTCCTGCCGTTCCTGACCCTGAGTCTGACTTAGCTCGTGCTGCTAGTCCTACTTGTGAGAATGATAGACGAAAGAATGAATGAACTAGAAATGAGATGGGTACATATAGGAAACACATAAGTGTTGTACCCTCTAAGAGCTACCCCACTACAGCCTAAATAGACCATAGCAGATATAAGTTTGACACTACTGTCCCTCGTCTTGGAGCCACTGTTGTCACTGACCCTTCGTTTGAGTCCACTGCTGCGTCTGCCCTAGTTGCCGAGCTTGTTGACTTTGCCGCCGCCTGTCGTCTCGACTACGCCACTAGTCTTGTTGCTGAGTCTGAGTCTGACTGTCCTCCGTCTGTCGGGGGTGAGTGTGCTCTTGGCACGGACGTCCTTGAGGACAGGCAGGAGGACTTTGAGTGTCCTGCAACTTCTGTACCTCGTTTCGCTTCCATGCTGCTTGCCCCTGAGGGAGACCCGGATGCACCAGACATCCCGACCCCGCGCTCTTACGCAGAGGCGATTACGTGTCCTTACTCCTCTCAGTGGCAGACAGCCATGGATGCCGAGATGGCA